TTGGCAGGTGGATGTCGCAATAAATCGGGTAAAAGTGAAAAAATAAATGTGTTATTTCACCTTTCCAATTCACGATCCTCCACAGACGGGTTCGTCGTTGGATTGCCAACTCGAAGAGGGAGGATATGCCATTGAACTTCTGGCCAGAAAAAAAACACGTCATATGTAACCAACATTTCAAAGAAGAATGTTTTAAAGATAATTGCACATTGTGATAAACACGAGATAGAGCATTGGGACTTGCTCGACTAATTTTTTATTTAAAGTACTTTCAGAGGTTTGAATTCTGAAAATGACCGGACTTTTCCTTTAAGTTCCAAAAAATTTAAAAAACAATCCACTCGATTTTGTTTCCAAGGTTGAAGAGGTTTCACTTCCCATCCAGGAAGCTTTTTCAATTGAAAATGTCAGAATCAGAGTTGAGTTTGAAGCTTTATAGAGTAGCCCAAAAAACTTGAATTTAACCAGAAGAACGGGTTTGTCCCTTAGGAATGGGGAGTCGTTTGGGTTCTTTGTTGGCCAGCAATACCCGATATCTATGCCTCTGAAAGGGGGGTCGTTAGGGCCACAATTATCAACAATGGAAACTAAGTCCAGTGGATTTTTTCAAACTTTCTGGAATGAGTACGATCTGGATGGCTGAGAATCTTCACCAGCGTACTGTTTTAAGATTCGGGACATATATAGATGATATAACCCCCTGAACGCACCATCCCCACGTAGAAACACGGCGATAGCAGCATCAAACTCTGAATAGATCATGTTCGGCAGAAGAGACAAAGAAACTGGTCAGAGTTGGAAGATGGGTGGAGCTAAAAATAGAAAAATACTGCAGGAAAACCATTTAGAAAAGCCTTGAGATTGGGCGGGGGGGGTTTGTGTTCCTTCAGCGCCCAGACCCTAAAACTACGACCAGAGTTATAATAAAGAAGTTTAAATCAAAGCTGCTGTAATTCCCCCATTAAAGTTCGGTTCTGGATATAACTAAGAAACTTTGGCAAGATTTAGAACTGTTTTTGTTCTCCATTCAGTTAAAGCTGAAGTCTGTAAGTTTTTAAAAATCACTTTTTTGTCATATTGGCTAAAACTGTCCCTATGCCCAGACAGCAGTATATGTGATATGTAACCTGTGAAAAAAACTGCTTCAGTTGGTACCGCCTACTGCCTGTATTTCAATCTGGAAAGAATAATTCTGGACGAGTCAAAACAACCAATCACAGCCAGAGGAGCGTCTGATGGAGTGTCAATCACAGCTCACACACGCTGAATCCCGCCCGCCCCCCCCCCCCCCCCCCCCCCCCCCCCCCCCCCCCCCCCCCCTCTGGTCGCATGCGGTAGCCGCGCAGATGCTGTGAGAGGGGTGGAGCTTGGAGGTGGGGCATGAGTGAAGCAGAGAGGGTGGGGGAGTGACGTGAAACCTGTTTTTCTTCAAATTTTCAGTCGAAGTCTGCTCTCTTCTCAATGTTACAGACTGCAGCTTTAAACTGACCTTTGGATAGAAGTGTGGTGAATGCTTATTTTGCTCTAAAATTGACCATTATTTTGCTAATTATCAATAAGTCCAGGACAACCAATCAAAACTATTCTGGCATTTTGCAAGCTGTCCTGTTTCCTTTAAAGTAAAATAAAAGAAAACAACTTCAAGCCTTTAAACAGCCATACAAAGCAATGCATGTTTGCAGGAACATCCAAACATGGTTTCCTACACTCTGGAATTGGATGAATTAACTGGTGTTTATTCCTCATTTAAACTAAGTAAGCAGTTCCAGGTTGATCTGCTGGGAACACCTGCGTCGATAATAAAGTGTTTCGACTACCTTGTTGCTCCTGTGGGTCTCACCTGTGCATAATTAAAACCATTTCTCTGCTTCTACCGTTGGTCACACAGTAATTGGTTCAGGTAAGGGTCCCCTGGGAGCCTTTCCAGTTGGGAATGTGGCTGTTGTGCAATGATTAAAGGCAAATTCATATACTAGTAGAGATGAAATGTATTACTCATCTCCTATGGAGTACATTAAGGTGTCTGCTCCCAGGGGAAGCTCGAGTCAGCCTTGGCTAACTGCAAAACAGGTTATATCCCTCTGAGGTTGCTCCATGTGTGATTACTGAGGTTTTTTCTGGAAGGATGGTTTTGATTCAAGATGAAACTGAAATCTAGCATTAAATACTTGAAGTCCTCAATCCATTTTTCATTCTTTTTCAGAAAGTTCATATGTTCCTAAAATGGGAATATGCTTTTTCTTTTTTTAATTGAAATATCCGTTGACCAGTGTGCAACATTTTGGGTTTCTGTAGTTTATTTAAAAGTAACTTTCAGGTCCAATACTCTGGTCGAAAATGCTGAGCACATTGTCTTGGTTTTAAAAGAAATTAACCGGCTAAAGGTTGATTTTTCTAATGATTTTGGACATTTTTATTTGCTTATCATGCGTCGGCAGAGAGGAGCTTTCTTTGCCATTGCACCAAATCTATGGAATAAACTATCTTTATATATTAAGAAATCAAACACACTTTCTATCTTTAAACTTCTTTAGAGACAGATTTTCTCTCTTTAGCTCCAAGCCCAAACCCAGAGATGTTGGCTTTTAAAATTTTAATGTGGTTTGTCAAAGATACTGTAGTACAAACTAGGATTGTACATAACCAGCTTTAACATGATACATGTTATAGTGAAGAGGATACAATGGTTTGCAACATCACAAGCTGTCAAGTACGATTTCCATTCAGCTCAGATCGCAAGTCTGTGATTGATATGATGTCTTATCATCTGCATATCTAAAATAATTTTTACATCGCTATCAACTTAAAAACAACAACTCAATTATGATAACAGGCACGAGGCATTTAATCAAAGTACATTGCCTGTTCAATATAGTCTTGTCTCATGTGAATTTCAAAATTAATGGTTATTTTTGGATCAGTATTTTCATTTTCCTTCACTGTAACCAGATTATTGTCATTTAGTTGATCATTGTGGATCAACTTATTTTTACAGTCCTACTATAGACAGTAGGTAAATAAACATAACCATATCAAATGATCATTTGGATTCATTTCGTGTCCAAAGATTCTCCAAACTGAGTTTTGGATTTTATCAGTTGTGGGCCTATTCCTTGGTTCTCTGATTAAATACTCATTATGCATTCTAATTTCTAGGTTGATATGAAGGTTTGAACTGCACCCTTTGAGATGTTTGAAGTTTTAGTTTTTTTTTTTTTTTTTAACAACATCAATACAACATCCATTGCTCCTTATAAAGCAATTTGTTTAATGTTTAATATAATAGGCATACTTTTTTTTTTCTAGTTTACTTATAGCTGATGTTTAAGGTATTTGGTTGCATTGGGTTATATTTAGTTAGATTAGTTATGCTGCTATAGGGTTAGGCTGCTGAAGGGCATGAGGACCACTTTCCCTTATTTTGCTACATTCCACTTCTATTTATATATTTTCATAACCGGATAATCCAGGTACAGAAAGTGAAAAGACTGTACAAAGAATAGTTCCAACCATTCACATTTTCAGCTCCACAACAAAGACTAGAGGCTAATCACCTGGTTAGGTGAACAGGATGGAGCAAAACTAGGCAGTGTCTTTACTTTTTGCTACACATGTTTTACTATTTGTTAGTTTGACTTCTAACTACATTTTCTCTGCTTTTTCTCATCATAGTAGCTTCACCTTGCCTGGCACTGTTTAACTGAGACACCATTCTGAAAAAAGGCATCAACTGGACTGCTGACATTTACAACTTTGGCTATAGATGTTATAGAGTTGGACCTGTTTAGTCCTGTTTTTCTCCTAGGCACAGTTTTTAGTGATCGACCAATAACCCTTTTTAAAGCTGATGCTAAAACCTATATTTTGAAATCGATCACTGATTTGCTGCTGATTGTTTTGCACAGATTATTTAGGTTCATATTGCTTTTAAAAATTATACAATGATAACACATGTTACACAAGTCTCAGTTTAAACAAAATGAAAACGATGGCTTGCAAATGGAGGGTTTGGCAATGCAGGCACCTTACATGATCTCAAACATGTCTGTTGAATACACTAATGAATCGGATAATGCAAGTACGTATTGTTAGATATGTACTTGCATTATCCGAAAAAAAAAAACAAAGAAAAAAAAAACAATGTTGTCTACAAATAAATCATCTTTCTGACTTGAAAACCTGCTCAGAACACATTCGCTTCACTGCATCTAGACAGAGCTACCATGGAGCTAGTTCACCATTACCTTCTCTAACATAGAATGCATTTAAGGATCAGTGCTTTGATGTTTCTTTTGTATGTCTGCTTTTGTCTTCTCAACCCCCCAGGTGGCCATGGCAGCAGGCCGCTCACATTGATCTGTTGGAGGTTTCTTTCTATTAAAAGGGAGGTTTTCTTCTCCACTGTCACTACATGCTTGGTATAAGTGTTTGCTTCAAAGTCAATGAAAAAATGCAAGCAAACATCTACTGTTTCCAAAGGGTCATCCAGGAGGAGTGAATTCTGCAAAGGTCAATGACTTGATACAATTTGATGTTTCCTTATGTGGAAAACTTTTTATCAAGTTTTAGGGACATCGGAATACAAGGGGGTTGGACTCATGCATAAACCATATTTTCAGATTACTTTCTGTATAGGAAATTGAAACCCTTTGTTATTGTTTTTCTTCCTCTTCACAATCCTACTTTTTATCAATCTATCACAAAAAATCCACCAACACAATTAAATCCATTTACAAGGCAGTGTAGTTAACTTGACAACAGAATTTTTTTCAAGGTTAGTTATAGGTTTGCAGAATAAGTCAACTTGTTTTATATTTGTTAGGTGGAAAAACAGACCAAATCTTATATCTTAGTCTGTAAGTTTTAGTCATTTTTAAATAACTGTAATGACTGAATAAAGATTACTAAGCATGTCAGAGATGTTTTATTTTGTTTTATTTTTGCAACATGTTTTTTCCCTGCCCAGCTATGTGCTAATCTAGTAGTGAGGGTGTTATTACCAAGAACAGCTACAGCAACAGCACCAGCAGAAGCAACAGGCGTTTGAGGCGTTGGTGGGGGTGTTTCCCATTTTGTGGTGCACTTCGAGGACACTGGCAGCTGCTTCCTGGTGAACCTGCATCTGTCTCTTGCGCATCTCCGCCCGCTCTGAGCCCATGGACTGCAAGGAGATACAAAAAGGTTAGAAGATCCGTCTGTCCAGACAAAGCCTCTTGAAGCTTTGTCTGCGTGGTGATGGCTGGGTCTTTCAGAACAACAGTTTACAGTTTGACTGAACTTCTTCCATTGTGGTACCCCACTTGTTGCCCCTTCCTGCATCTAACCCTTTGAAAACATTTAGCTTGGATGGCTACAGGGTTAGAAAAAACACAAATTCCAGACTTTTAGAATAAATATTTGAAGTAATCAACAGGAAATAGTTCCTCTGTGACACACTCTGCTTAAGGGGGATATACATTTGAACTTGATCGGTTTAAAAACCTAATTACTTAGAGTTTAGACTGTTTTAAAATAAACCACCAAATATAATTGTATTTTTCTTGAGGTCCTGTTTCTAAATTTTGCATATTTTTGCTTTGCTGATGTATACTCTGATCAGAATTGAGCGGCACAAATGAAAATAGTTGGTATTTATTTTCCAATCCATATAGTGTGGCCTGCTCTTTGCAGAGTTTTTACTATTCAACCACAGTATTTGAGCCAAAGCATCTCAGTCGGACAAGATCATTCCAAATTCTTGATTTTAATTCTTCGTAATTCAATTGGAAATCACTGTTATGCTCTGTAGATGTGAAGAGCTTTTTTCTTTTTTAAATGTTGGTCGTTCTGGAAAGTTGTGCCACTGTTTCATACTTTGTTCTTTTATAGAAAGGGGCCTTAATAGTGTTTCAAAGTAGGTCCACAGCCTGAAAAATAACTTTGAAAACCTTTTAAGACTGATAGCTATGAGAGATTTGTTTTTCATCTGTTCTTTAATATATCTTATTTCATGTTATATCCAAAATATATATGGGTAAACCCAATTTTTTCACTATATGTTTTAATAGGCATCACATTTTCAGTTGAGTTTGGATTTATTTCTCCTTAAAAAAATGAAATTCTCATTTGAAAATTTTTATTTCATATTTAACAAAAACTTATCTTTGGCTAATATTAAAATTAGACAGGAGGTCAGACACATTTAACAGTGACAAAAAATATCCAAAAAAATCCAAAGCTGATAGATGTTCCAATTTATACATTAACCTGCATATGTTAAAACTATATGCACATGAACGTGGGAAGATTCATCTAGCAGAATGCATTTTAATTTGTCCAAATCATCCGCGCAGCCTGGCTGTTTTGTAAACTGCAAAGGGAAACAAACCCACAGCGATGGATTGTGCTGAATGTTAGGGAGGAGAATAAAATCCCAGCATGACGAACAGATCTCCTCCTCTCTGTCAATGAGCATGACAGGCAAGGCGTCACTCCTTGGACCGCAGAGATCACATCCATCAGGCGCATCCTCGGGAGGATACGCACGCGTGATGGCACATACAGGCAAAGCTCTCTGCCCAAAGCAAGCGGCCATTTATAGAAATACAATGAAATCATTTGATCACAAAGGCTGATAAGATGTTGCTTTTCTCCCCTTTGTTTATTTTTTGGGGGAAGGATAACACTAAAAAACATCTGAAACGGATTAAATTGATTTAATTAGCGACGATCATGCAGAAATCATGATGCGGATGACTGATTCAGGAAGGATTTTAACATTTATTTATTCACATTACAGATGCTCCTGAATTATCCGCCTTATATTTCATGAAGAGGAGCGCAAACTCGGACATATCCTTTTAATTGGTTTTATTATAGAAAAAAAGAACAATATTAGTGCAATAAATCGTTTACTTACTGTGTCACCATGAATGCCAGAATACAGGTGATTTTCAGCTCGATCACATCCGTCTGCCTCCGACTTGACACAAACCAGTTGGTGTCCTCTGCGCGCATGCGTTCCATGCAAGTGTGAAAAAGATTTCTCTGCAACCAGATGCAACCACGCAAGAATAGAACACGATCTTCTCAAGCCACAAGCTTCTACTCAGAGCCTGCTTTAGGGTTCAAATTCATTATTCAATGCAAATAATAATAATAATAAATATATACATATATTTGAAAAAGATAATATCCAGCTGTAAATTTTGTTCATAACACCAGTGATCTATATATTATATTCATTACTTATAATGGTATTCATCTCTATACTTATTACTTACTTAAGAAACAGGACTACACAATAAAGTTGAATCTAATCTAAAAAAAAAAATAAAATAAAAATTGACGCTTAATGTAATTTAACGCTCAAATTAAAAGAAGCGATGTGATTTAAAATAAACCTATTTGTTAAAACAAATATTTACATATTATAAATTGCATAAATCTGTTTGCCTTTATGCAATCTTATATGTCCTCATACCATTGCAATCTTCATGACGGGTGTGCGTAATTTGGATAAACTTGGCGAAAATCGTCCTCTCATCCCCATCTGTATCGCCGCTTCATGAATGATGCGGCTCATAACCACTGGATGCCACCAGAGGGCAGCAGAGATCCATCCTAGGAAATGGATTAAACTCCTTGGAGTATCGAACGTAAAGTTGTACAATCTGACAAAAACTTTCGTCAAATGAATTGAATCATAATTCTAACACATAATGATATTCTAGTCAAATAATTTATTAAAGCATAATAATTCATTAATTTAACATGAAAACAAATGTAAAATTTTAAATTAGGCTGATTGTGTTAAAATACATGTATTACTTTACTTATTATTAGTTTTGTTCAAATGCTTAAAATCTACTCTGAAATAAATCTTTAAATTTGACTTGTTACTGCAGGCCAATCACCTTTGTAAAAAGAACAGCAATAGAAAAACAGCTCGAGTTGTGTTACAACAAAGTACAATGAAATATAAATACTGTTTTTTATGTATGCTTTTATCTAAACTTGTGGTTGTTTCATTTTGTAAATTAACACATGACCTATACATTAAAATTATAATTTAATTTTGTTGGTGAAATATTTAGTTAGGCCATTTGTGTATTTCTAAAATGTGGGTATTGATCTGAACATTTACAAATCAAATGACTTACATAGTAAAAAGTCATGTATGCAGGAAAACAAACAGAAAGGACAAAAATAACAATTTATATTCAGTTCAACACATGTCATCTCAAGGCATTTTACAGAGACAATTCAATTGGATCTTGCAGCTCCGAGCCAGCTCCCATATCAGAGGATGAAAGAGAGCACAATAAGCCAGTCACAGTCAGAGAAACAGGACTACACTGAAAAACAGGCAGAGCTCCAACATCTATAAACAAAAGTGTTGATGGCAGTAGCAAAGCTGATATTTCTCTCCAGGATGGTGTCACAGCCAAACAGGAACAGACCAGATGAAGCTACTATGAGAAAAAGCAGAGAGAGGATAACATTAGAGATTTAACTAACAAATACTGCAGAATAGGAGAATAGAGTTAGAGCCCAGAAAATAAGAATAAGCTGAAGAAGAGTGGGTCAGGGTAACTATAGCCTCATTTAAATGACCATTGAGCATATGGAAATAGGCTTACACAAACAGTCCAAATGGCTTTTTTTATATCATTACCACTCCACTGCTGCATGCAGAGAGGAGCCAAGAAATAAATCAACTTCCTAATTAACTTCCTAAGATGAACTTCAGCTTTTAGCATGTACGTGAAACGTTTTAAGGGTTTTATGCATGAAATTATCATATTGGGACTGCTTGAAGTTAGAAAGTAGAGCATTAGCATTTTGATCACACACACACACACACACATATATATATGTATATATATATATATATATATATATATATATATATATATATATATATATATATATATATATATATATATATATATATATATATATATATATATATATAACTTAAGTGGATCAGTAGAGGAGTAAATAAGATTGTTTAGGCATAGAAAACTATCTACAACAGTTTAACTGTATATCCAAATATTACCTTAGAAAACTAGAAACAATAAAAAAAACAAAAAAAAAACATTGCAAATCACAATCCCTCAGGGAAGTGTCATCATTTAGTACCTTTCAGGTCATCACCTGAACGGTCATCTATTAAGGGATGCAAATTTTTCAGCTCATATTTCCTTGTTCGGCCCGAAATGCTGTTTGTTTTGAGCAAATGTTTTACTTTTCATCAAAGATTCAGCCAAATAATCAAAAAGCAAAACAAACAAACCAACCCAGTGAGCCTTTGTGTCCAGCTGTTGGAACAGCTACCATGTAAAACTGGTTATTTGCCAAATGTCTGATCTGTTTTATTCAGTTTGTTCTTTGATTCAAGAGGCTTTCATGTTTGACAGACTCTTGGGCCCATCACAACTTTAGGCTTTTTTATGTTATAGAAGTGCTTTTTATCATCTGCGAGTTCTTTTTGGATTGTGAGTAGATTCTTGTTTTACAGAATTGACTTTGAAGCTCTCTCCAGAAATCAGTTGTCATATGCCCAAGATTTGAGGTTAAAAAGGATGGAAGGTTTTTCACCTTGCCTTTTGGGCAAAATTTCAGTCCTTAAACTTTTTGATAATAATTTGAGAATTGCATGTTTAGTGTTTAGAGTCTACATATCTCAGGGTTTGTTTGTTTCTTCTTTTGTATCTTGTAAATGTTACTGCACAGCCTCTGAGCCCTCCTCCTGGACTCAATTTCTGCACCCCTAAAGCCATCCTGCAGCTCTCTCTGTCTTTTTTGAAGCACTACCCCAACCATACCTTTGGATTATTCATATTCAGCTCTGCTTTTTATTTCTTTTTTTTACTTTTAGGGAAGGGTCAGAGTCCCTCCCTAGAGGGGAGGGTACTGTAATGACCTGATGGCATTTCTGTGTCTATACTCTTATAGATTTTGGACTTTGACTTGGTTTAATGTTTGTATTCACATTGGTTTATCCCTGAGCTTGGTATTTCCTAAAGAGTTCTGCAATAACTTCTGTAATTCTGCTCCCACATCTATCTGCAGTTTGAGTTTCCCTTAGTTACCTGCTGCTCTCCCAGCAGTAAATTATCTCCAATCAATTTACCTGTTTTTTGTCCGGTACTCTCTCCCCTGCTTTTCATGCTATTTTATAAAACAATGCTGCTTTCATGTCCATTTGCTTAGTAAAATTTCCACCCAATTCAAAATAAGGGAAGTAGAGGCATAATAACTAAACTGTCTAACAAATTTTTTTCTCCTGCTACAATTAACATCGTATTACAGGGCACTGTTTAGTGATATTTAGTTAAAAGAATTTTGTATTCAAAGACAAAGACATTATTTCTCCATTCCATTTAACAAAGTTTAAAGAGCTTTTAATTAGACAGAACCAAGGCAACAGTAATCAATTTTCTTCTAGCTGCACTGAACAGATTAATGCAGCCACCCTGCAACACCTCCACCTTTCCCCACACTTTGCTGCAGCCTGCTGCTCAGCTGGCTGAAAGAAGGTTACTTTACTTCTCCATCACTTAGATCACCAAAGGAATGTTTAAAACTGCTGAAATGTTCGGCCATACCTTTCCAACATTATAAAGTCATTGTAATAAGAATGCAGGATAATGTATTGGTTGTGAAAAGACTCCTACTTTAAGTATTTGCTAAAATTCTCAAAAAAATCTGGAAATACACATGGAAATAAACAGCTATAGAATGGAAACAGAATCATATATATTATGTTTCCTGATGACTGTATATAAAGATAAAAATATGTCTTTGAGTACAATTGTTGCCTTTCTGTTTAATGTAAGTAAAAGTTGGTAGATTATGCAATGCTATATTGTGTGATATTGTATTGACATATTTTTCACTCAAGGTTATTCAGACCATAAGAATCTGACGGATGCCCCCACATCAAGACTTTTAGTGCAGTACATTTTATTTATGGGATTTTACAGTACAATAGTGTCTGTACAGCAATGCAAAAGTTTAATTAACTTTCAAAACCTTTTCAGACTACGAGTAACCAATGTTTTATGGATATGAATCTACATTACAACCACCTTTAATATATCCAATGGGAGAACTCTGTTTATGAGAATGGTTAGACTTTTATGTCTTACAGAGCTGCCTCTGCTGCAGTTATGCTGTTTGGTTTAATTTATTCATTGGGAGGCACTGCCTCAGTTTAAAATATTCAGCCAGAATAAAGCTATCATTAAAAAAAAAAATTTGCATCCTTCATATGAAACATTTCCAGAAGAAAAATCAAATATCCTAATTTTGTTTTATAGCCATATTCCTCACTGTCTTCTCTCAAAGCAAGAGCACAACTCAAAACTGCTGAATTATTTCTTGAGGCTGTTTTTATGCAGCAGCTGGCATCTCTCAAGTGCAGCGCTGCTCAGTCTGACCAGAACAAGATCTATACATGTCACTGCAGCACAGTCAGAGGTACGCTATCTTCCTCAGACACACGCTGGAGAAAAGCTAATCAATTTGGGACCACTTTTGATTTGTGTGCTGGAGTTTTATTGGGCGCTGCGTCTTGTAAAATGTGATTATCCACTTCAGCTAAAGTTGCGAATGCAGCAATGGTGATTGTGGAAAGATGGGGGTTTGTCCATCCTCTTTCACACGCTCTACGTGTGATGCAGCTGTAAAACATATTCAATATGGAGAAGTCACCCCCCCCCCCCCCCCCCCACACACACACACACACACACACTCTGAATAAATCATGTATCTTGTATCTGGAGTAATCTTGTGGAGGGATTGCTTCTTTATCAGACCCTGCTCTTTGGTGAGGTAACTGTTACTGTGATCTACAGCTGGAGCAAATCAGCACCAGTATGACCCTTTTAATCTTCCCATACAGATTCAAGCAGAGAAATCCAGCTTTAACTATAAGAGCAGCATTTATTTATTTCTTATTCAGCACAATGTCAGATTAAGAGCCACCAGCCCTTTAGAAACACACTGAGAGTAAATCGTCAACTCTGTCTGC